GTCGTGCGTGTGTGTGTGTGTGTGTGTGTGTGTGTGTGTGTGTGTGTGTGTGTGTGCGTGCGTGCGTGTGTGTGTGTGTGTGTGTGTGCGTCGCTTGGACTGTGTTTGTACTTGGCTGCATCTTGCTGTTGCGTGCACCATTCTGTTCTGCGTTCGTGCTCAACCTGCTCCCACGCATCCGCCTGCCCCCTGTGCGCTTGCTGAAGGTGCCGTGTTCATCAATACAGAGGCCAGGTTTCCCATGTCCAGGTGGCACCAGCTGGCCAAGCACTGTGCACAGCGCTATCCTTCTCTCGCCAGCATAGCCGTGAGCGACAACGTCTTCACAAACCGAATTGTGAGTGGCCACATTACATCTCACCCGCGTGTTTTTCCAATCCCCCCCAACACCCAAACACACACACACACACCACATACACACACCCACACCCACACACACACACACACACACACACGCGCGCGCGCGCGCACGCACTCGCTGGTCTCACCAGTGATCGCTCACCCCCTTTCCTGTTTGCGTGCACTTTTTGTTTGCCCGTCAGTGGCTGTGATGGTCTCACTTTCGCTGTTCTGACTTGCTTGCGCGGTGTCATGCTTTGGCTGCGTGGAACGCAGAACACGGCAGATGAGTTTTGGATGTTTGTGCATGAAGCACTGCCGAGTTTACTGTCTTCAAGGTCCGCCAGTGTGTGCGCTCGTTGTGCCATCGCATCCTGGGCTGCTTGCCATCACCGTCGTGTCCCTCGCGCAACAGCTGTTGCAGCTGGATTTGCATTCGCAGTTGTCATCTTTGCATGCTGAGCCGAGGCGCACGCTCACATTGCTTGTCCACCACTGCAGTGGCGTGCGGCTGGTGGTGATTGACTCCATAGCGGCGCTGTTTCGAGCAGACTTTGCCCTCGACGAGTCTGCGGCACGCGCACATGTGCTGTTTGATATTGGGCGCCAACTTAAACAACTCGCACACGCACACAAGACCGCCATTGTCTGCATCAACCAAGTAAGGCAGTGTAAGTGCTTGCATGAATACGAGCATACCTGCATGAGTATTTGCGTTTCTGTGCATGTGCGAGTGTGTACACGGTGTATGTGTGCATGCGTGTGTGCGCGTGTGCGTGCGTGTGTTTGTGTTGCGATCGTTGAAGTAGGGTTCGTGCGCCTGCGGCATTCATTGAACAGCTGTTCAATAATTCGCCGGTGCACATATCCGCAGGTGTCTGCGCACGTGCCTGAGGAAGTTCTCCCGTCGTTTGCACCCTCGCGTGTCATCCCAGCACTCGGTCTAGCGTGGTCCTCGTGCATCAACGCCCGCTATTTTGTGCGACGCATCACTTCCCGCGAAGCGTCGGTCCAGGTGGAACCAAACAGCGGGCAGTTGTGTCTTTGTGTGTGGTTTGAGAGCCGTGGCTTGTTCTGAAAACACGAAGATACTCTCTCTCACACACACATGCATGCACATGTGTGCAGGCTGCCTGCGACGTTGAGCGACAACTTTCTTGTGCGCTCGCACCACATCTGCCTGAGGAGCGTGCGTCGTTCTTCGTGGACAACGACGGCTGCCATTCCATGGAACAGGCTGGCATCACATAGCTGCTGCAGCTTTTGTGTGTGTGTGTGTGTGTGGGTGTGCACAATCTTGTCCTTGAGTGTATCATCACGCATGTCACAAATGCCATCACACATGGGAAGCTCGTGTTATTTGAATTCTTGAACCATACATGAAATCGTGTTGTATGACGTGACGTATATAAACAAGCAGCAATCCTGGGAGCAGGCATGCGCGAATCGAAGTGCCCACAGATTGTACACGAGTACACATACAAACACACTTGTGGCGGTCAAAGGGCGAGTTACATTCGTTGTCAGAAAGGGTGAGGGTAAAACGAAGGAAGCATCATAAAATAAATATAATTGTCCCATAAACGTAACACAAACAAGCGCACTACCCACGCAAGACAGATGCGGGAGTGAGGCGGAGAGACACACACACATGTACACAGACAGACAGACACAGACAGACAGACACAGACATACACATACACAGGCACACAGACATAGACACGCGACTTGATCAGATGTAGAGGAGGTCGATGTCCGTCTTCTTCGAGCCAAAGATGGTTTCCTCCCACTTGGAGAGCTGCTTCAGGAAACTCTGGTTTGGCCTGTAATCACACACAGCGTGGGGCAGACGGGTAGACAGAGAGACAGAGAGACACACACACACAGACAGAGACACACACACACACACAGACAGAGACACACAAAACGCATAGACACACGGACACACACAGACACACACGGACACACACAGACACAGACACACAGACACACACACACACAGACGATATTGTGAGCAGGTTGGGTTGAGCTTCAAGCCATGTGCGTATGCACGGCAGTCGCGTCATCTCGCAGTCAAAAAAGTCCGTGTGAACATGCGCACAAGGAATAACTGACTTGACGCCCTGGCGGCGATCGCTGATAAACTCCAGGGCATGCTTCAGCGTCCATCTGTCGTTCACGCGAGCACATGTGTGCGCGCACGCAAGTGGCAAGCTGCGGTCAGTTGCGGTAAAATGTGGAAGGACGCGATCAACAACAGGAGTCGTTGTCTCAACACGACAAGCAACACACACGCACACAGACACACACACACACACAGACACACACACACACACACACAGACACACACACACACCCCCGCATGCGCACACACGTACTGTTTGTGTTTCATGAAATATGCGGTGAGAAAGGTGGTGCTTCTGCTCACTCCCATGGTGCAGTGAACTAGCACACGTCCTCCTCCCTTCACTGCTTTGTCTGAAGTCAACCAACAGCACCCGCATGTCACACCACAGCATGAGAACTCACAGATGAACAGACACGTGCACGAGAATACTGCAATCACCCGTGCCAATCGACACTGGAAGCATGCCTCTTGGCCCATCACTGCACATTTGCAAGAAATGGAAATAAACGTGCATACACGCACACAGACACACACACAGACACACACAAACACACACAGACACAGACACACACACACACACACAGATACAGAGCGTATGTACTCACGGATGAAGCTGGCAGCCATGTCAAAGTGGTCCATAACGTTCTCGCTAGGAACGTCCGAGACGCGCAGGGAGCAGTACGTGACACTCCCAGGAAACCTGGCAGTGCAACCAGAGGAGAGAGCAGTGAAAGCAAGGGCAAGTGTGTCAGTGACAACTTAGGCACAGTGACGCACAGCATGCTGAACATGCACGCACGCAGGGCAAGACGTAGCATTTCCACACACACACACACACACACACACACACACACACAAACACACACACGCACTTGTTCTCGTGCTCCTTTGTTGCGTTGAGGATGTGCGTGATGCCCAAGTCCTTGACCACCACATCAGAGTGGGCGTGAAGAAAGTTGCCCAGGTAGATTTGCTGCACGCGAATCTCAGATGGATATGTCTGCAGGCTCTCGCGCTGTGACAGGCTCACGAACACGTTTGTCTGCGTTTCGTGCGACAGGAATGGATATCGCTTGGAGAACTTTGCAAACCCCCCACTAAGCAGCGTCTGTGACGTTGTTGCATTTTGTGCATGTATATGTGCGTGTGTGCGAGTGCACGTGTGTGAATGAGCACGCAAGAATAGACAAGTGCCATAAAACCAACCACGCGACGCATGATTGCTCGTTGCGAAGGCAGCATGTAATAACGCAAGTGATTGCGCACCACATATTGGACGCCAGAGGACAGGAGTTCATCGCGCATTGCTGCGGCCGGGCCCGACGCGCTGCCGCTCTCATCGTACACGATGACGAGGCTGTAGTCGCTCATGGCAATCATGGGGTTCAGCCTGCATGCAACAACACCAGCGCGCAAGTACACACACACGCACGTTGAGGCGTAGTTTGTAAACGCATGTACAGACAATTGCACACACAAGACTTTGGATGTTTTCATGTTCGCGTGTGCATGGGTTGTAATGTGGGTACTCTTTTGTTCATATGTTCTCATGTTTACATGTGTGTCTGTGTGTGTGTGTGTGCGTGCGCGTGCAAGACGTACATGTCCTTGTGTTGTGCAGTGATGATGTGGCCGGCAGTGAAGGCAGCGTGATCACGCGCATCAATCAGCAGCATGTACTCTGCATCGTGGACATACGGTCTGCAGAGGTGGTGACAGTGCATTGAGGGGTGGGAGGATGTGTGGTGGAGGGTCGGCGAGCATACACTTGATGTGGTGGCGTCGTCCCCGCGCACATGTGTACATGACGCACGGATACAGACACGGACATAGAGACAAAGATACAGACACGGACACAGAGACAAAGACACAGACACGGACACAGAGACAAAGATACAGACACGGACATAGAGACAAAGATACAGACACGGACACAGAGACAAAGACACAGACACGGACACAGAGACAAAGATACAGACACGGATACAGAGACAAAGACACAGACACGGACATAGAGACAAGACACAGACACGGACATAGAGACAACACAGAGAACACTACAAACAACACACACACACACACACACACACACACACACACACACACACACACACACACACACACACACACACACACACACCGGCGTGTCGTGCTCACCTGACGATGCCTGCGTTGAGGGCATTGAAGAGCTCACTGCAACCGGCCACATCGCTGGCCAGATTACCAATGGCTGAGTAGACGGACTGCAGCGTTTCCGATCGAGTGTCAGGCGCTGCCGGTGATGGCCTGCGTCCTACTGACGACTGCAGGGGATAACAAGTGGTGCGTACATGCGTGAGAGGACATGTGTTCGTGGCACGCAGCAAGGTGGTGTGTGCAGGTGAAAACACACCGTAGCTGCTGTGTGGAGACGAAAACACACACACACACACACACACACACACACACACACACACACACACACACACACACACACACACACACACACACGCAAGTACACGTACGCAAATACAGACACAGGCACACGGGCGCCTGCGGTACCTTGCGCTGGAGCAGGATGGTTGCGTGTGCGCTTGCGCGACGCTTTTCCTCGACGAGTTGCAGCCGATCTCCAATGCTTCTTCGCATCGTGTCCCACTCCTGCATGATTTTCGCGTCCGTGCGGCCGTCTGATTCGTGCACAACATCGGCCATAAGCGCTGCCTGCTCCTGCAGCTGCGCGTGCAGCACGTTTGTGAGGCTGAACTTGCGCGCGGCCGATATGAGGGGAGGCGTCAGCACACCGTCACCACGTCCTCTGGTGCCCGCCGTGTGTGTGCTGAGCGGATCTGGCGTTGGAGACGGGCGCGTGCTGTCTTGGCGAATGTCCACGTCTTCAATGTGCAGCGTGTGGTGATGCGGCCTGGAGAGCGTATCGTCGTCGTCCAGCCCGCCCATCGGCAGCGACCCAATTGAATTATCATCGCCAGCTGCAGCGCTGCCATCGCTCTGAGCAACGTCATCCTTATCGCCGTCACCGTCACGGTTGTCGTCGTCGTTGTCCTCGGTGCAGGTGCTACTGCTGCTGTTGTCCTCTGCGTCTGTTTCATGCAGTGTGCTCGGAAAGAACGCGGAGGGATGATAGTCATCCACGCTTCGCGTGTGCACTGAAACGCCCAGCAAAGCAACACAAGGGTTCTGTTAGAAGCAGGAAGCCGCCGCGATCTCACAGGGATGCACAAGCGCATAAACGTGCACATACACACAGACACACACAGATACACAGACAGATACACACGCATGCACACACACACACACACGCACAGATATACACACGCATGCACACAGACACAAAAGTTCATTGAACACACCAAAGAGGCCCGGTGATGATGCTTGGCTGAGCAAACGGTGGGCCGACGTGGTGGTTGTGTTGAGAGGGCTGGGCTCCAGCGTGCTTGTCGCCGATGTGCTATTGGCTGTTGCGCCCTGCGCATCCCACGTGTTGTCGACCGGGGACAACTGCAATGGGCGTGGCTCGGCTGTTTGCACAATGTTGTGGTTGCAGCTGGGCTGGTCATGCTCCTTCTGTAAGGGCATGCCATTCGCTTCTTCGTGTTGCTGTTCATTGAGATCCTCCTTCTCGTTGTTGTTGTGGCTGTGTGCTGGGGTCTCTTGTTGTGGCAACAATGAAAAGTGCAAGGTGGTGCTGCCCGGCGATGCTTCGTCCTCTTGTTCGAGTTCAGACGGTACGCCAGAGTCGTTGCACCGCGTTCCGTCAGCCTGTGGTTGCACATGTGCCGCCGATGCCATGCCGGTCTTGCCGTTCTTGCCGTTCTTTTTGCTGCTCTTGTCGTTGCTCGCTGCTTTGTGTGGTTGTGTGCCATCAGGGTCAAAGGTCCTGGATGCGCTGCTGGCAAGCACAGCCACGTTCTTCGAAGCCGAGCACCCCATGGCGCGTGGGTGCGTGCGCGGTGAGATGCCCCTGGCTTGCTTGCCTGCCTGTCTGCCTCTGCCTCTGCCTCTGCCTCTGCCTCTGCGTCTGCTTCTTCAGTTGTTTGGTTGCGTTGTGCGCGTTTTTGCTTCGCTGTTGTCAGCGAAACCACGTCGACTTTTGACTAATGATTCCTGCTAATAATCTCACCAACACAAAACAGCACACAAACAGCATGCCTCCACTGCTGCGCACTTTTCCATACCCGCCGCCATCCGAGCCCCTCACTCAAACACACGCACTGTGTCGTCCCTTGTTCCACGTCTCTGACACACGCATACGCACACGCACATTATACTCATATACACGCACACACGCACACACGCACACACATACACGTGTGAGGGAGCGAGCAAACGAGCATCAAGAAGCAGCAAGCCATGTCGTCAACAGCCAAAAGCGCGACCACAACGCCGCGAGCAAAGGTGGTGAGCAAGACGACGACGCGTCCCACATTCGCCACGCCGCGGTCCGCTACCAAGACACGTACCACCAAGAAGTCGACAACCCCAGGCCACAAAAAGGGCACTGGAAAGCAGCGCGTCACCAGACATGTTGACCAGCGCGTCCAAGCACGCAACAGGTACGCCATGACAATGACTCGCAGTCATCCTTGGGGGACGCGCGTCGATTTGGTTTTGCTGTGGAATTGTTGGTGGTGGTTTGAATTTGATCGACGAAATCGAGGTGGTCAAGGTACAGTGGCATCTCCGCTGTGGCGGAACCCGATGCAACTTGCGCTTGTGTGACAGTCACCACTTTCAAACGAGCTCTTACGACCATCATGCTCACCGTGGCAATGCTCTGCACCCAATTGGCAGTGCACTGAACGCCTTTGGTGGCGTCAAGGTCGATGTCTTCGTGCGTGTGCGCCCTCGCCTGGAGCTCGAGAGTGGCCAGGAGGAATGTGTCTCTGTTGACCCGGAGGAGAACACGCTTGAGCTGCGTGATCCAGCAGGGAACCCAGCCACCTACACTTACGACAAGGTTTGTTCATGTGTGCTTGTGTGCGAGTGTGTGTGTGTATGTATGTGTATGTGTGTGTGTGTGCGCGCATGTGTTTGTGCGTGTGTACGTGCGTGTGTGCATGCGTGTGTATGGCCGTGCATGTTTTCATCCAGTAGCAGCCGCACGCACGCGTAGCCCGTGCTTGTATGCAGCTGCTCTTGCTGTTCATTCGTATTGACTCACCCATACACGTGGCACATACGCAACCAACGCGCAAAACCATGACACACACACTCACATCCCAAACACACACGCACACACAATACAACACGCACGACAAAACCACGTGTGCACTGCCACGCCAGGTGTATGGCCCAAGCTCGTCCCAGTCCGATGTGTACGATGATTGCGTGTCTCCAATTGTGGAGCAAGTCTGCCGCGGTATGAACTGCTGTATCTTCGCATACGGTCAAACCGGCGCAGGAAAGGTGCGCACAACCGTGTGCATGCGTGTGTAAGGAAGTGCGTGCATGTGCATGTGCATACATGTGTGACTTCATGCACTGCACTTCTTGCACTGCCAACCCATCCCTTGCATTGCTGCAGGCACTGTGACGTTGCCAATCACATCTCATCCTTGTTGCACTGCCACTATCACCATCACACACACCCACACCCACACCCACGCACCCACACGCACCCACGCCCACATACACACGCCCACACACACACACACACACACACACACACACACACACACACACACACACACACACACACACACACACACACACACACACACACACACACACGCACACGCACGCACGCACGCACACGCGCGCACACACGCACGCACGCACACGCGCGCACACACACACACACACACACACGCGCGCACACACACACACACACACACGCGCGCACACACACCCACACACACACACCCACACACACACACACACACACACACACACACACACACACACACACACACGCACGCACGCACGCACGCACACGCGCGCACACACGCACGCACGCACACGCGCGCACACACGTACATGCAGACGTTCACCATGCGCGGTGATTTGTCGAGCAACGAGAACCAGCACGGTATCATTCAGCGATCCCTCTCCCATCTGCTTCGTCGCCTGCACGAGCACGAGTACACCGATATCAAGGTAACCCACAGGCGTGCACATCCATACGGAAACATACCAAGGCTGCGCTTGCACTGCCACGTGTGTGTGTGTGTGCGTGCATGTATTGTATGTCGCATTTGTCTCGGTGCGTGGCGTCTCGCTCCCGCGTTTTCGCAAGCGCCTCCACAACCTCACCCCATTGTACGACCACCGCCACCGCGACCACCAATAACTACACATGACCAACGCCGCTTGGTCTGTACCGCAGGTCAAGTGCTCGTTCCTTGAGATCTACAACGAGGAGCTGGAGGACCTGTTTGACGCAAAGTCGAAGCCAAGCACACGCAAGCGCAGCACGCGCACAACCAACAACCTCGTGCTCGTGGACGACGAGAAGCGTGGATGCGTGTGCAAGGGCCTCAAGGAAATGGCCGTCGAATCTGTGCCGCAGGTTCGTGGCCTGTTGTCCATCCCCATGTGTCTCCTGCATGCATTCACGCACACACGCCGACGCAGTGCCCCTTTCATGGCGTGTGCTGATGCTCTTGCCCCCCTTTGATGCACTGCCAAGGCACCTTGGCGAGGTGCTTTGCTGTACTATTTCACTTCACTCACTCGCACCTGCCCGCTTCATTTACGGGGGCTGTCTCTTCCTGCTCTTCCTGCTCCGCACCCTCAACCCACCTCGCTTCGATGATAGGTGATGTCCCTCCTTGAAGCAGCCGAAGCAAAGGCTCGGTAAGCACCCCTCTCTGTGTGCGTGCGTGCGTGTGTGCATGTGTGCGTGTGTGCGTGCATGTGTGCGTGTGTGCGTGCGGGTGTGTGTGTGTGTGTGCGTGCGTGTGCGTGCGTGTGCATGTGCGTGTTCGCTTGTTTATGTGTGTGTGTGCGCGTGTGTTCACGACACCAGTGTCCATCTATGCTCACGACCCACCTCTTCTTCTCCCCATTCTCCGTCACGGCGCTCGCATTCTGCCGTTGCAGGTACTCTGAGACGAAGATGAACAAGCTGTCCAACCGCGCCCACCGCATCTTCACGCTGATTGTCGACTTCAAGCGCTACGAGAAGCCCGTGCAGGCGACGCTGACCTTTGTTGATCTCGCCGGCTCTGAGGACATCTCCAAGAGCGGCGCCACAGGCCTGACAGCCCGAGAGGCAAGCCACATCAACAAGAGTCTCCTCACCCTCGGCAGGTGCGTACTGTCTTTTGTGCGTGTGTGCATGTGCATGTGTGTATGTGTGTGTGTGTTTGTGGGAGGTGTGCGTGCCAGTTGACGGGACCTGCATGGCGTGTGATGTGTGCTCTTTCGTTGGAGGTCCCAGTGATGCGTCAGCAAGCATTTCATGCCAGCCAACGCATGCATAATTGTTCGTGTGTACACACTACTTCCTTCTTGCCCTTTTCCATTGTCCACCTTCCGCCTCACACGCACACGCACACGCACACACACACACACACACACACACACACACACACACACACACACACACACACACACACACACACACCAACACCTTTTTTCCCCAGGGTCATCAACGCACTGGCATGCAACGAGCGGCACATCCCCTACCGCGACTCCAAGCTGACGCGCCTGCTGTCAGAGGCGCTCGGTGGCGTGTGCAAGACTTCGTTTATCGCGTGCGTGAGCCCGTGCTCGGGTTCCAACACAGAGACAAGCAGCACGCTGCGCTATGCAGAGCGCGCCATGGAGGCACTCAACATCTCCCAGCTGCCTCGCTGGAAACAGGTACGGCGACGCGAACGAGTGGTTGCAGCATGCAGTCATGATGCACAATGTGCGCCTTGACGAAGGGGTGTCTGCTGCTTCCCACGTTCCCTGCCTGTACGTGTGTATGTGTGTGTGTTTGGGGGGGGGGAGTCTGTACGTGCGCCGCTGTCTGCACTTGCGCGTGTTGGTCCACCGCCACGCCACAGCACCCAAACATACTCTCACTACCTCCCTTCTCCCTCCCCCTCTCCCCCTCTCCCTCCCTCCCTCTCTCTCTCTCTCTCTCGCCACAAATCACACTGCAGGATGAGATTATGATTGACGGGCTGACGCGGCGTGTGCAGCAGCTTGTGGACGACCTCGAGAGCATGCGCAAGATGCACAAGGAGGAGATGCAGGAGCTCAAGAGCGAGCGCGACCACCTGCTTGAGGAAAACGTGCAGCACAAGCGGGACCTGGGCCGCGCCCACCGCAAGATTGACCGGTTGCTTGCACGCAAGGCCGAGCTGAAGAGCGGCGTGAATCTGCTGACGGGCCAGAAGGCGGATCTGATCAGCGAGAAGGAGGCGCTGCAGAAGGAGCTGCTGGAGACGCGCATGGACCGCGACGGCCTGCGCGCCGACCGCAACACGATGGAGGTGGTCCTCAAGTCTGTGCGCGACATGCGCAACCGCCTGCTGGACGCCCACTCGGCGACGGAAAAGTCCCTGACGTCGGACGCGCTGGCGCTGAAGAAGGTGATTGAGGGCGCCGTGGTGGACATTGACGAGCTGCACCAGGAGATTGCGCGCAAGAAGAGCCTCTCTGTGCACAACGAGCAGACGGCGGACGCATATCTGGAGCGCCTGTCTGCGCACCTCCGCGACATTATCCAGGAGGTGCAGGACTTTCAGGGCATGCAGGACACGCAGCACTCTGGGCTGCAGTCGATGCTCTCCGAGCTGCGCGGGACGCGGCAGCGCGAGACGGCGGCACTGACCAACGACATCAACCGCGTTGCCACGGGGATTGTGTCCGTGTTCAAGGACCTGGTGCAGCAGGCGGAGGATGTGGAGACGGCCCGCAAGGCGCGCATCTCCCGCGGCCGCGAGGACGCCACGCTGCAGACGCAGCACATGCAGGCGGCGCTTGAGAAGGCGCAGGTTGCCGTGGTCGGCCAGCTGGGCGAGCTGCGGAAGCACTGCGATGCACTCGGGGCGTCGATGAACGGGTGGGCGGAGCGCGCCAACCAGCAGGCCGGGGACCTCCTCACGGCGTCAAAGGGGTTCACCACGGAGGTAAAGGGCAAGCTGCGCGGGTTTGAGGAGCACATGGTGAACGCAACCAACGCGCACGTGAACCAGCTGGAGGCGCACCACGCGGCGCTGGTGTCGTTCCTGACGGAGGAGAAGGCCAAGCTCGAGGCGCAGTCGGAGCAGGTGATTGAGGACATTGCGGCGTTTGTGTCGCGGCAGGTGCGCGACTACGCGACGCAGGCGCAGCGGCGGGCGGAGACGGCGGTGAACGGCTTCAAGGACCGCACCAGCACCATGACCGACGACGTGCGGGAGCTGGCCAATGCACAGGGCGCGCAGCTGCGGGTGCTGAACGAGGCTGTTGCCGGCAACGACGCGGCGGTGGAAGAGGGCGTCAAGGCGGCGCGCACCACGACGGCACGGCAGCTGGCGACGGCGCAGGGCATCCTGGACAACGTGCGGTCGGCCTCGGCGGACACGGAGGCGGAGCTGACGACGCACGTGGACGGCATGGCGCAGACGGCGACGCACCACAAGGAGCAGCGGCTCAAGTTCCTCGGGGAGGACGAGCAGGCGGCGCAGGCGGCGCGGGCAGCCAGCGAGCGCGTGTACAAGAAGGGCATCAAGGAGATGCAGACGGAGGGCGAGGCGCTGCGGGGAAGCGTGGCGCAGCACCTGCAGGCGTTTACCGCGGCAACCGACGACCTGAGCACGAACCTTGCGGAGACGCGGACGAGCGTGCGGGAGCACGTGGAGGCGGCACAGGAGCAGTTGTACGACACGGAGGCGGACGGGGCCAACTACGTGATGCAGGAGATCAAGCGGGACACGAAGGAGGCGCCGCCGCACAAGGCGTACACGTATCCACAGGATTACGCCGCCACGCCCGCGTATGGCGCCGTGCTGGAGAACGTCAAGCCGGATTGGACGCGGGAGGAAGGCATCATGGAGGGGCAGGTCAAGCCCGGGCGCGGGACGGACTTTGCTGGGGAGAAGGGCGACGAGGACCACAGCGGGGTGCTGACGTCGACGCTTCCAAAGCCGCTGGAGGCGCCGGAGCAGCAGCGGCTGGACCGCGCCGTGTACGAGAGTGATGCCGGCGAGTACGAGGACCCCGAGGGGTTTGTGGACCCCATTGACCGCGACTCGGAGGATGAGGAGGAGGACGACGATGATGATGCTGCTGCTGCTGCCGAGAGCGAGCACCAGGACAGCACCGCTCAAGATGGCGATGTGCAGGCGAGCACTGGTGGTGCCGACGAGCAGCAGCAAGAGGATGCGCACACCAACGGTGCAGCCAATGTGCAGACACCCGACGCTGTTTGAAGCCGGAAACGGCTCGCCTGCGGCATGACATGGCATGATGCGGAGGTTGACAGCTTGCCGAGTTGATTGTGGGTGTGTTGTGCTGCGTTTTGTACGTGTTGCATGTTGCATGCTGTTTCTCGTTGCATTGTGTGTTGTTGTGTTGTGTTGCATTGTGTGCTGTTGTGCTGCGTTGTGCGTTTGCCGAACAAAATAGTTGATTGTCGTTTGACGAGTTCAGTTAGCCCTTCACACTTCTTGCTTGCAAGCAGGGAAGAGGAGGAATTTGATTTGTTGTGCATGGAAACCCATAATGAGTTGTTGGGTGGTTGGCTTGGTTTCACCTGGCAATGGTGCTTCTCTCTGTGTGCTTTTGTGCTCCTCTTGATGCGTGCGTGCGTGCGTGTGTGTGTGTGTGTTTGTGTGAGTGTGGTTGTGCACGTTTGTGTACATTGTGTGTTGAGGAACAATACAACGACAAATGCATTGGGTCTGTGCTGGTGGGGCTGTTTACTGGTACATCTGACACACGTGCTCGCGTGTGTGTGAATATCCTAAAGACGAGGGCAACCAAGCACAGGGGGTGCTTGTCGGTTATTTACATTTCTGTTAGCGATGCATATCTCTGAGCAATGGGCCACAACAGCTACATCTCCATGTGCTGATGCTGCTGCTGCTGTTGCTGGAAGAAAGGGTGTGCAAGTGCCTGCGCTGCTGTCAGTCGAAATCTCGAGTCAATGGACAGGCAACCGCGCACCTGCAGCCAGAGCGAGCAAGAAGGAGGAGAAGGAGAGGGTAGGGGAGCAAGGTAAGTGCAGCATGGGCAGTGAGCGAATGTGTGTGTGTGTGTGTGTAAACGCATACACAGACAGACAAAATGACAGACAGACAGACAGACAGGCAGGCAGACAGACAGGCAGGCAGACAGACAGGCAGGCAGACAGACAGACAGGTGTCGAATCCTGGACTGCCATCTTACCAGGTCATAAAACTCCTTGGGAAAGGAAAGTGGGGCGTCGTCTGGACAGCGGAGACGGGTGCAAAACGCCTCCAGATCGTGTGCAACACCGATTTCGTCCGGCGGATCGGCACCAAATTCCACATCAAGCTCCTTGTCTATGCTCGCCCACGAGGCGTGTGTGAACGAGTGAGCGAATGAGTGTGAACGAGTGAGCAAATAAGTGTGTGGTTGCGTTGTGTGGGAGGCACAAGCATGACGACAGCGTCGTTTGAGCAAGCAATGTCACCCTCCCGCTCCCCCGGACAGCGCACCAAGGGCAGCTGCAAAGTCTTTGAAGGGAACGAAGCCAAAGACGGCGATGTATTCCGCGAGGCACGTGAGGTCATCCTCAGCAGGGAAGAAGGGCGTGCGGTGGCTGGCAGCCAGGACGTTTGTGGGGAGGGGGAGGAGCAAACGGGGTGTGATGCGGGGAAATGAAGGAGACTGTGGAGTGGACGAAACTGATACATAGAAGGGCGCAAGCAGACAAATCGACAGGCAGGGAGACACACACACATACAAAATACACAAACACAGACACACAACGCACATACATATATACATACATACATACATACATACATACATACATACATACATACATACATACATACATACATACATATATACATACATACATACATACATACATACATATATACATACATACATACATACATACATACAGAGGAGCAAACGGGGTGTGATGCGGGGAAATGAAGGAGACTGTGGAGTGGACGAAACTGATACATAGAAGGGCGCAAGCAGACAAATCGACAGGCAGGGAGACACACACACATACAAAATACACAAACACAGACACACAACGCACATACATATATACATACATACATACATACATACATACATACATACATACATACATACATACATACATACATACATATATACATACATACATACATACATACATACATATATACATACATACATACATACATACATACATACATACATACATATATACACACAAACACGCAGGGGTTGGTCTCACGAGAGCAGGCCGAGGGCAATGACGCCAGCAGAGAACATGTCGATGGCTGCGCTCTGATAGGTGCACTGGAGCAGCACCTCCGGCGCACGGTATCCGCGGGTCCCGGCCCGGTTCCACCGCTTCGACTTGCGGTCGTCGTCCTCGGGCACAGCGTCCTCTGGTACACACACAAGGTCCCTTGTTTTGTTTTGTTGTTTGGGTGCATGGCGGTGAGAAAGGTGGAGCAGGAATGTTTGTGGGTACGCGTGGTTGCGTTGGTGGTTTGTCACGCATGTGAGGGAAAGGGCGCTTGCTTGCTTGCAATTGGACAGACAGTGGCATATGCAGCTTATGCAGGAATGCAACAGTGTGTGTGTGTGTGTGTGCATGAATGGCAGAGAGCAAGCGGCAGAACGCACGGTTGTGCTGGTGCGTGGCGGGAGCAAAACTCCAGCTCCTTGTCAAATGCCTCCTGCGCCGTGAGAAACATGTAGTCTGCACACATGGCGCGAGCGGAGCACGTGAACCCAGGTGCGAATGAGAACAATGGACAGACATTGAAAAGATGGAGGGGGGGGGGACAGGGCATCGAGGGTGGGGGGGGGGCAAGATGAGAGTCCACCAGATCCGCACACACACACACACACATGCACGCACACACATATGCGCACACACATATGCACACACACACACACACACACACACACACACCCACCCACACCCACACACACCCACACCCACACACACGCACATATGCACACACACATGCACGCACCGTCTGCGGCGATGCGACGAGCAAGGCCAAAGTCAACGAGGCAGCCCGTGGCGCCAGGCGCGAAGAGGAAGTTGCTTGGCTTCACATCCCGATGCACAATGCCGCGCTCATGCTGGCACACCACAAAACAAGTGCACGCACACACACACACACACACAAACACACACACACACACACACACACACAACAACACACACACAC